TATTTTGTCAGCAACCTGCTAATCTGCTTAAAATCTGTAGAAAACATTATTTTATTTCTGTACGGAATGCTTGTTGCATTTACAAAATTTAAGTGTTTCAAATGTTTAATTAAGAAAAAAAAGAACTTACAGTTTACACAAAGACTCTACGTGCATAAAAAGTATTTTAACTGATTTATATACAGGCTTTTCATATTGATAAGAAGTGTCCTTCTTTCAATTGGATTGCATGATTATTGTTATGATTTCTCCGTTATTATCAAATCCATCAACTCGTTCACTTGTGATTATTTTGGAAATATTATGACAATATTTTAACTTTTAACTCAGAGCTTGTAATGTCGGGCACTCTGAACAAGTTAAGCTTTGATGTAGTAAAAAAACATTTTTTCCCACAAGCTATAATGTACAGTAGTGGCTTTAAAACTATACAACATCGCGCTGTTTGCATGTGGCACATCTTCGTTCACGTTTTAACTACAGTATAGAAAAATGAGTGTTAAGAAAAAACAGGACATTCGATTGCTGGTTGCCTTATATTTTTTTAATAAAATAAAAAAATAAGATACCTGCCTAACTCAAACACTGCGTGACTTTAAAAGCTGTAAAAAATGGTTTAGATAGCAGAGTTTGAGTTAACACAAGACCCCTTTTGAATTAGTTGTAATCACCTTTGTCTGTCAGTGAAAAAAAAAACCGCAGGCACTTTTTCTTCCCCCCTGGTGTGACGTGACAATGCGGGAAATAGGTTTTTTTTATTTTACTGGGAGTGTGAACATTGAGTGAGCACTGGGGCATACAGTGAGACTAACACAGTGAGATTACTGAGATGGATAGTTTTAGTAAATATGTTAACAAATATCTGAATTTTTGCCAGATAAAATTGTATACTGCTGTGAATCAGCTAAGAGACCTTGCCCCCGTGAAATTGTGGGAAAGTGGTTTAGAGGGCAGTGTAGTGACCATAGAGTGTTTCAATACACTGTTCAGTATAACAATATAAAGCAAGTATGTTTTTCATGTTTGTAATTACTATTCTTGCAAGTACATGTTGTATTCAGTTTGCTTCTGTGTGTTAGCTGGTGTGCTAGCTAGTGGGCAAATGTTCAAAGTGAAAATTCATCCACAAGGAGTGTACCTTTAAAGCAGAGAAGACCGCACAAAACTTTTTCGGCTTTGTTTGTCGCTCAAGCCATTTCTCTTTGACACTTTTTTTAGTCATAGAGGTGGGAAGACACCTCCCCCCTCCCCCTTCCCTTTGCCTGCCTCACCTGTTCTCATTTTTAACTATTCTGTTTCCAAATCGCAGCGGGTTGCAGGCTCTGTGTCATTTGTTCACAAAGTTATTGACATCTGAAACATCGTGTCTCATAAATAGGTATTTTAATAAGCGAAGCTTGTGAAAACTGAAGAAAAAAAATTATCTGAAAAAGATACAAGAAGCTTGAAATTATTATTAAATTAAAACTGGTAATAATGACCAGACACATTTTTATAGTTTCAGTTGTATTTTTAATACTGCTTTGTTATTCTCGATTCTAATTACAATATATACAATTTCATTTTTAGGCTTGTGGTGTCTGTTAAATTGCCCTACTGAATAAAGTGTTTTTAATTAAACCGGTTTAATTAAACAGTATTCACGTTTGCTAATTCATGTTATTATTTCATTATTAATATAACTTAACATATGTTATGAATATGTTATAATATATGAACAAAAAAACATGTTAATATAGTGTACATAGTACTTCATCATGCGTGCAATTAAAAATAAAACGTTTACAAAGAAAGTGGATTGCAGTAATACTACCAGCTATATAAATACATATATTTAGATCCTTAAATTAATATTGTTAATTTCTTTAGATATGAGATTCCATATAATATTTCCTATTAATCAAATTCTAAAATGCATGAGTTTCTTTTACTGTGATAACAAGCGCAAGTATTCATAGAAAAGGTTAATCACTTCACTCACTTAACTTTGAATATGTTGTGATATTTAGAAATACCAACAAATTCAATATAGTGTCTATAATCTTTACTTAGTTTTTCTACTATCTTAGTTAAACAAAAATTCATTGTGAGAGCTGGGTTTGAACCCCCAACTTCCAGCATTCCGCCTAAGCCATTACACCAATGCACCACTTAACAACTTAAGCTGTAGCTGAAAAGTGCAGACAAAATGTTTTTACGTCATCACGGGTGAATTAGCTAAACTGCTGCAGATGTTTACAAAAAAAGTGTACTACTGTAATAATTTGAGCTATATGAATATAATAATAATGTTATTAATTTCTTTAGATAGGAAATTCCATATTATATTTCATATTAACCAAATTAGAAAAAGTATTTTTTCCACGATAACGATCGCAAATATTCCTAGAAAAGGTTAAAACATTATAACTTGTTATGAAGTATAGAAACTTGATATAGTCAGAAGGAGCACATAAAAATGTTTCTGAAACAACCACACGTAAGACTTTGATGCTTAAAATGTTTAGGAAGGAAGTGGAATACTGTTTAAACTACCAATACCAGCCATATACAGTTTACATAATATGTTTATGTTTCTAAATTAATATTGTTTATGACCTTCAGACACATTATGCTCCTCTTTTTTTATGCTCAGCTATTAAAATTTCCCTTTAGTTGTAAAATTCCATATAAATATTCAATATTAAGCGAATTAAAACATGCACAGTAAAGAGATTAAATGATTAAATAATTTCACTAATAATCAATGTACCACGAGTGCCCCTGTTGGTCATTTTGGCCAGCCAATCACGTACTGCGGTACAATGCGGGTGGTAACCTGTAGATAATTTTGCGCAGTATGGGGTTGTAATGTGCATTTTGAATGGCTGCATCTATAGCTGCGGTGTACTGTAGGCTGCAAAGGAATTAGTAATGGTTTATTCCATGCTGAAAAGAAAAGAAAAGAAACAACATTTTGGCTGTGGAGCCTTTGTCAGGTGTTAGAAAGAGGAAAATCCACTTAACATCCACTTAAAACGAGCACTTCAAAACTATTCCTAAATATCCACAGTAAATGACCTAGTTAAAGACTGATGCAGAAAATGTTTATGAAGAAGATGGGATACTGTTGTGTGTTTTATTATTTTTAGCTACCGCAGTGTGTATAATATTTTTATATTACTTATGAAAGAAAGGGTTAAGTGCATATTGGAGCTGGACATAAAAATAATGTTCAAGGACTTAGTAAGGAGTGGATATCTGGAACTGTAAATAAGCTGTCTTTGTTTTGCAATATCTTTGCTTAATGCCTAATTGCACAAATATCTTAACTACTCCCATGGAGTGGTATCACTCCTCAGGAACCGCTTCCTCCTTTGTGCTTGTTTTTGTGTAACTTTTGTGTAACTGTTTGACTTGAAAGTCCCAGCTTGTACTTTGAATTGACTACGGCTTTTGTGGATGAGCAATTCCTGTATGCATACATAATAAACTCACTGTACCTTTCTCACAAACGAACATGACTGAGAGTGTGGATTTTCTACAGTTAAAAAATTACATATTAATATTTGTGGATTTAAGGATTATAAACAGTAGGGGAACAGATAAAATGAAGCAGCCATTATTTCACTAACACCTAACAGACCACAAGTGTCACCTATCGATCATCTCTGGCCAGTGAACCACACACCCTGCCATGCTGCAGTACCGCCAACGTGATAATGAGGATTAATGCATGTTTTGAGTGGCTGTGTTACGTCCCAGTGTGTGGTCCATGTGTGTTTTTGTTGCTATGTTCCACACTTCCTGACTTTGATTGTTCTCCCTCTCCCATTTGTCCCTCATTACACCAGTGTTTCCGTATTACATCATCTTCAATTAACTCTCAACCAATCAGAACTCAGCTTATTAAGTATATAACTTGGAGGTTATCAGAATGAAGGGCCTTTTGCCTGACTTCGGTTCTGCTCGGCTCAGCTTCGGTTTTGCTTCGCTTTTCGTTTTGCTTCGGCTTCGCTTCTCTGTTTTCGCTCGTTTCACTTTATGTGTGTGTGTTTTCGTATAGCTTCGTCTTTTGTTGGTTTGTGTTTGTCTCCTTGTACTTTCGTTTGTTTGTATTTTCCTTTATTTCGCCATTACCTTGCCCAAACTTTTTATATCAACCTCTCTTCTCCTTTGCACCCCATTCCTTGTGTCTACTCTCGTTTTCCCTTAATTGTATTCGTAGTTCACTTGTTTATTTGTGTTAACGTTTGTGTATAGGTTAAGGTTGTCGGGTACATTGTACACACGTAGTTGATCTTTGTATTAGTAACACTAGTTTAGGACAGGTGAGTGCCTTTTGTCTTGCATGGTTTTGGGTATTTATGAAGGTTAGCCAGGGTGTTAGAAGACGCCGAAGACAGAGTGTTTTGGATTTTGTTTTGGTAGTTAGGTCAGCTTTCCCTCACTTTATTAGCCAGCTCCATTTTGTTTGTAATTTTCTTTTCTTTGGTACCTCTCTAATTCCCTTTCCCTATGTGTTATTGTGGCCTTTTTACGTACCAGTCACCTAATTCACTTTAAAATAAATCACGTTTGCACCAAACTTGTTGTCATGCTTCCTAAGTCCCTCAGCAGAACCACACATGCATTTAAAACCATCCTAAATGTTACACCTATACAGGCTGCATCTGTATACAGACAAGAATATCTAGAAATTCATGGAATATGAAAGGGTCATTCAAAGATCTCATGAATATAAATATTTTTTAATGCCAAGTCAAGTCATTCTGGGAGACCATGAACAGTAATGTGTAGCTAGGTATAATTCTTTTGAGTGTGATGTATATGAGGTTATATGAGGTTAGAGGCAAATATGTCATGTGGAGGGTGTATCATGGTGAAACAGATGTAAAATCGGACCAAACCTGTTATCTTGTTACAGATGACATCTCTTTTGCCATAAATGACATCCTTCACATGCTGTTTTAAACAATACAAGAGAAACATGACATGGTACCTACAACAGTTGGCCTTACCTTCACTCCTGCTAAGATCCCTGTGGTAGAGACACTGAAGTCTAGGTAGGCCAGCATTTCAGGCGTTGGTGGTTTATAAATCTGAGAAGGCTTCTTTCTAGGGAGGTCATCTGAACAAATCAATTTAAAGAAAAAGCATTTATAAGTAATAAAAATAGTTTCAAAATATACATTAAAAAGATTTTAGCTCATTGATACTCTTCATACATTATGAATATCAATAGTATATGAATTTTCCCATCTATTGTACTTGTTGTTACTAGCACATTGATCCAAGGACCTCATCAAGCAGCATTTTGAAGGGCCATTACATCTAAAAAGTCTTTATACTATTGCTGCTATGGGAGAACAAAAGTGATTTCTGAAATTTTAGGGTTTCCAAATACATGCAGCTTGACACAGGTTTTCTGATGTTGTAGATAGGTGTAAGTAAGCAAAGAGTGAACACAATATACAGATACAGCAAACACTATATCTCCAACCTGTGGAACTTTACCTGTGTCCAGTATTGCTGGCCATGTTTTCACATCCACTGCCACTGCTGCCTCTTTGGATTTCAACAGCCTCATTATAGTTTGAGTGGTCAGGATACACACCGACTTACTGACCTGTCACATAGAACACCACACATGGAGCATTTAGATATACTGCACACAATTAAAATACTGAAACTGCAGATTTTCCAAAATTATATCTATACCTTTAGAATAAATACAAAATCTTTGCTTTCCTGTCTGTTTCAAGCCCTGCATGATGTACAATACAAAACAACCTAGTTCAGGTGTATTTCTACCTACTCTACTGTGCTGTCATGAGAGCTATGAGACCTATGGTAATCATACAGTCAGCTATGCTTAAAAATCTGTATCCCGAATGGCTGTGAGAGTTAAACTGGCAAGGCTGTGAAGAAAGATATAAGATGTGAAGAAAGGGTCACAAGGACTGGACAAGTTATGGCAGGAAAGGGGGATAACTGATAAGGATTCCAGATGCCAGCTAGAAACCCCTCTTCCCAAGGAAGGAAACCTAACACTGACCATTTGGCCAAAGTCTGTGAACTGTCTGAAGTGTCTGAACACTGTGCATCACCACTGTGCATTACCATGGTAACGAGCTACATCAGAAGCGGCAGAACAGGGCTATATAAACTGGAAGTTTTGTACCGGTACTTCGAACAATACTTCGTTTTTATTGTTCCTTGCATGCAATAAAACTCATGTTTAAACTTCATCTTGGGATCCAGAACTTATTTGTCTGTTACAACAATTTTTGGCGTCACGAACAGGATTCTCCAGAAGGCCCAGGGTTTCCCATCGGCAGAAGAGATGGTCAGCGTGCATAATACAAAGAGGCATTTATTTTATTAAAAGTCCCAACTCTCTTGTCTGACCGATTGGGAAGTCCCTGCTCCCTGCGAGGATCGCCCGAGATGATGAAGTAGACGTGAGTTTCTGGATACCTCTGGCCCGGGGAAGACACCGGTGTATGTAATGGGTGGTTGGCTGTAAGCCCAGAATTTGGTCTGGCAGGCAGCGAGCGGTGGTATTGTGCGCACGCATTCGAAACTGGTGAATGCCTTAATTGCGTGTGTTTCTGAACGGGTTTGGCCTTTATCGCGGAGCTCAGAACTGGTTTGGGCCTTAATTGCACACGGGGTTCTGAAGCTGAGCTGTGCTTTAACTGCACATATAATCCAGGACTAGTTTGGGCCTTAATTGCGCACAGGGTCCTGAGGTTAGCAATCCCTTGATCGTGCACGGATTGGCATGGTTTTTTGTTTAAAAGGGAACAGGAGGGGAGTAGTTTATATATGTATGTTTTTATGTGTTTTCCTTGTTTATGATAATACACATACGCACAACACTAACATAAACACACCTCCTAATTAAACAGCAAAGCACTAAGTAGCAGGATTTAAAGGACGTTGAGATCCAAGAATAGCTCTGACCGGAGCCCAGTGCGTAAGTCCACCCCGGGACAAAAGCTGGCGTTCTGGGGATGGTGAATTACTGATCCAGGAAGAGAGTACTCGAGGTCTCGTTTCTTACATGTGAACAGTGTGGTGTAAGTCTTGTCTAAAGACTCTGAGAGGCATCTAGATCTGGAAGTAACAGACGCCCTTAGCTGCATAAGTGCAGGAATGCACAGGATTTCCAAGTAAAAGCACCCGCTTATGAGCTGTTGCCTCACACAAGACAAAGTAAATCTTCAGAAAATGAACATGTGTGCTAACTGGTTGTTTGAGAAAGTGGTGGAAGTGTCCGATTATGTATCGGACAAGTGTAAGTTGACGGGATAGGAGGAAAAAATATAGAAAGAAGTTGAGTTAATCAGAGGGAATTTGGGGCGATGATGCCTGTAAGAAAGTATATGAGTAATGGCAAAAGCACAAAGACGTAGTTGCAGCCCTGGTGCGCGGCCAGCACCTGTGGCGGCAAATAAACGAGAGAAAAATTAAGAAAAAGATAATTTACTCGCTCCAAAGAGGAACTAGAACAAAAGCTAAAAGAGGCTGTGCAGGAGGATCAAAAGCTGAAAAGGGGTACAGACTGTCAGACGGTGTTTGGTCTGAGCAGGACTGTCGGAAAGTGATTGAGCAGTGGTGAAAGAATAAACAGATGGATAGTGGAACAAGTGACGTCGTATTCATGAGAAGTTACGCTGTTAAAAAAGAGATACACGTAGAAGTGAAACAAAATACAGCAAATTGTAGTACGAAGAAAAAAAATGAATGAATGAATTTGTGTGCCTGCATGTACGTACGTGTGTGTGTGTGTGTAAAAGAGCGGAGTGCATAACTGTGAGTTTTGGTATAGTAAATGATGGAGCAAGTGTATTTAGCCAGCCGGACTGGCTAGATACTTAACTAAAGAGACTTGACGAAAGCAAATGATGAAAAGCAATTTTAAAGTGACTGGAAAATATACAGTAAGAGCGTCTGAAACATATAAGTACAGTACAGATGGACCTAAATGAGTTATATAAACATAGTTTTTGTATTTATATACAATTACTTCATATCGGTGAAACAAAAGTTGGATTTATTTGAATGGCTTGAAACCAGATATGCTGAAACGCTGTAGATTTAGAATCATGACTGGTAGATAACACTGTGAAATTTGCAGAACTAGATAAACTCTATCGAAAGATGTGGATAAATATGTACACGAAGGTGCGGGCAGTTTACATGGGTTGTATTCCACAGAAATTGGATAAATCTTAGAAACAAAATAGACAGGCTGACCTGGGGAAATCTCCGGTTTACAATTAGTGTAAAGAAGAATACACGCGTCTTTTTAAGAGAAACTGCAGAAATTGTATGCAGGATGAAGTAAGCAGGGACCTGCCTTGTGGTTCAACTGACAAGGAAGGAGAGAGAAAAAATGATCACCCAGCTAAGAGCTTTTATGTTTATGTTATGTTTCTCTATAACAATAATAAAAAACTTTATTTTACATTATTTTACATATCCCGCTTACACATCGCACGGCTGTAATAAATCGATTCTTTATTAATACTAAATAAATAATACTAAAAATACTACAGCAAAGAGGTCACTTGATTTTTGGAATAATTCCCAATAGCACAATGATCCACTGGCATCCCTGAAGTCTGTTTAGTCCATAATCTTCCAAATACAATCACTAAGCAATTATAAGAATTATACCATCCTATTTCTTTGTGATGTCCTGTAAAAACTAAACCTATTTTTATAAGGCTTTTACTCAAAAGATTTCCAAACACATAGCATTTGTGAAGTACTATAGTATTTCTAAAGGTTACTGGTACAACATCAATCATTAAAGCTTAACAATAAAGTTTAGATTGCTGATTATGGACTAACTACATTAACTAACTGCAATGCAACAGTATACATTTTACAAGTAAGAATATCTGGTTGAATTCATGCATTTGTAGCCAATTGAATGCGAGAGATTTTAAGTTTTAACAGAAGAAAACTACGAACATGAAAACAGCCATAACAACAAAAATTACTGTGCAAATATCAAAAGGCTACTTCAGTAATGAAATAATAATCACAGTAGAAACCAG